CCTATCTTTACGTATTAAAATCTTCATGCAGACCAGAATATATTTTTTTAATTTTATAAATATCTATCTATCTACATATATATATCTGTTTATGTATATATATATATATATATATATAAATATATATATATATATATATATATATATATATATATATATATATATATATATATATATATATATATATATATATATATATATATATATATTATTATTATTATTTTATTTAAAGCTGTATTACCCCTTGTGTGGGCTATTACTTAAATATATTCGACTGTAAATTAAAGATATCTATTAGTTATTATCTATTAATATTAGTTAGTATTTAGACTTTATATTCGTAAGCCAATTGTTTTTCTATATGTGATAAACGTTTTCAAATAGCTGACCAGAATTTTTTACGTTTTTTATTTATTAATTTAATTTAATTTTTTGGTTTCAGATGGTCTGGAAATAATAAAGTGGCTACAGTAGGTGTGCAGTGCAGTGTGTGAGAAATAAAAGAATACAGCCACGAGCGAGTTCTAATATTTATTATAGGAGCTGTTTACTTTTGACTGGCCGCCTGCGTCCGGCGTAGACATGTGTGTTCAATGTAGGGTGGAACGCACGTTTACAAATGCCATAGCAACCGAGCGGGCACATCTTTAATATAGCGCTGCCGTAGACTATATTATCTGCACAGCCGTGGAGTTGGCCAAAGGCTGCGCTGCAAGAGCTGGATATCGAAGACCGCGACGTGCGCCTGAAGAAGAGTTGCAAAGCAATGATGTCATAGTTTTAAGTAGGAGCCATGGGAGAGCATATGGTTCGTACCCGCTACCGAAAGGAAGTGTTGCTTTGTTATGAGCAGGCGGCGCTGTAGCTGGCGGAAGAGGAGGTCGCCCAGCCCAGTGTCTCTTCGCCTGGAATAGAGAGAAGCCGAGGAGAAGACGCGAAAACGGTGGGAAGACAAAGCTGCTACAATGGCCGCAAAATCCGACGGGGTGCTAAAGATGAAGAAGAGCGATGTAGCATTCACGCCTTTGCAGAATTCGGATCACTCAGGTTCGGTTCAAGGGCTCGCTCCGGGATCGCAGCCGGATTCTGGAACCGGAGAGGCGGACTTCGTCAACGGGGAGTCTCGGTGCTGTGGCTCAAATTCGACATGTCTCCGCCTTGGCAGGGAGCAGCAAAAATACACGGTCTGGGACTGTCTGTGGATCCTCGCCGCAGTGACGGTTTATTTCGCGGATGTGGGCACTGATATTTGGCTTTCTGTCGACTATTACCTCCGCCGCGACTACTGGTGGTTCGGGCTAACGCTGTTTTTCGTGGTGCTCGGCTCGTTCTCGGTGCAGGTCTTCAGTTTCCGATGGTTCGTCCATGATTTCAGCACCGAGGAGAGCTCCGGAGGCGGCGGGGGAACGGCGAGCTGCTCTCACATGGACGGGAAGCTCCTTAGCAGCTCCGCTTCGCACGGAGACGTTGGAGCCCACCCGTCCACGCCTCAAAGACAGGCGTCCACGACGAGCAAGAGCAACACCACGAGCAACAGCAGCAACAGCGCTACCGCAGCCCGGACTAGTAAGACACGCTCAGCGTCCTGTTCCCTCTGTATCTGGCTCTTGCAGTCCGTCATTCACATCCTACAGCTCGGACAAATCTGGAGGTGAGTTTGAGCAGCGCTTTATTGTCAATGGTACTTGAGGTTTGAAGAGCGGGGTCGTCTATTTACTCCCCACAGCACGTATTTTGTTCAGAGCAGTGTGGTTGAACAAGCTTGTTCTTGAGTTTGGACTGGTAGACACGTTTAAGGCCTACACTCACACTGTGGAGGCTGGAGAGCTGATTTAACATCTTGTTAACCTCCTAATCACAGTGTGATTGCAACACAATAAGAGAAGCTTTTGATTTGTAGATAACCTGACTTAACAGAATGATTTCTGGATTGAACTGAGCTTGACTGACTGTACGGTTCGTGAGAGTTATAGGCACTCACTGACTCTTTCTATTAGCATCCATTATTTATGTAATTGAGAATAAACCTCATAAAGATATCCAAAGGCTATTAGTGGATGATTGATCATCTTGTATGAAAAGTAGCTGCAAATATTTCCCAAGTGGCATCTTACAGTGTGTGAGGTTAGTGGCTCACACATGGAATTGTATTGCTGGTCAATACTTTAGTTTAACACTTACATCTGTGACGGAAACAATGAAAAGGATCACCAAAACATATTCGGCTTCACAGACTCAGCTCATCGTGGTCTTCAGAAACCTGAATGAGTTTTGATCAGTATGTTTGATAGAGTGAAATTCCATTTACTCAAAGTCTTTGACCCCGAGGATTGTGTTTGGACACTGTCCAAACTGTAAAGCATGGGCAATTGCTGTATTGGAAGTAGGCCATCAAAGCCGTGGTCTAATAGTGATTGCATAGACGAGGTACGTTGTGATTAGCCTTAAAGACCCCATTATGAAATTGCACGCTGCTGTCATTACTTACACATGTGGCTAGAATGGATGCAATCTACTGCTTAGGGTTCTCCTCATGTATTTGTATCCATTGCACTTTGAGTTTGAAGAATGTTGCTCTGCGAGAGTTGCTAATTGAATAAAAGCCAGCAGTGGGAAAGCTGAATGGAATGACTTAATAGCACACTTCACAAAACTAGGCCACAACCACACTGCTGCAGCCCAATCTTTTTTTTTTTTTTTCACATGGATTGGCTTTCTCTGATTTGGAAGGATCATTTCTTTAACTTATTCCTTTTCTGAGATTTTTCGGTGTCATTCTGGTGGTGTCACATGGTGTGTGGTGACGGGAGTGAAGCTGACACGGTTGTGCGGTTGTGTGCTCTCAGAGGGGGAGGATTGTTGAGACATGCGCTGCACGTGGCACTGTGCAAAAGGTTCACCAGTCTGGGGACGTCTCACAAAGCGAAGCAATTTAAAAATAGCTTGCTTCGCTAATAAAGTTCTCAATATTCAACAAAGGAATTGTGTCAGGCTGAGTGCCAGAAATGCTGTTTGATTGCGGAAGGCGAAGAAAGGTCTAAGTTTAGCTGTCATCTGCTGGTGTATGCATAATGATGTTTTCCTATAGTAATGTGGAGGGAAAACCCTCTCAGAATGAGAAACCCTAACTGTTGTGTTGCATGAAAACAGTTTTTATTAAAGCACTTACATATGACCTTTAATTCAAAGGAATACATCTCGCATGCATTAGCAACTTTTTTCATCTATGTGCTGAATCATGGCGTTCTGAAACAGTTCTTTATTTTTCCCATTGTAGTCAATATTTGAATGTATGTCATCATACATTGTGTGTCTCCACATCATTAAAGTATGACTATGTGACTTTACTGAGAACTGCGCAGTTGTTGTCATATTTTTCCCACTTAGGCACTGAAGCTAGATTTGGTTGCCAGTTCACCTTTTAGAGCTTAATCCTTTTGTGTACACACAATTGACTAAATTCCAAGAATGACAACAGCAATTAACAATCAGATTTATTCTTGAAAAATGCAGGTAGCGACAGCCACATTTACAAAAACGCTGTGCAGTGTGTACAAAACTGAACAGAACAAACAGTTGTTAATGATGTAATTAAATGTGTAGCAGAGATGTCTTTTCTGTATTTACAGAGCAAGAAATCACAAAAAAACAGGGTAGGTTTAGGTCACTTTTTTTTTTTTGATGGTCCGTTTGTTGAATTTGAGTTACATTGCATCTACGTGGCAACTAATTCTCATTAGATTATAAGTAAACTGTTTGGTTGGGGTTAGGGTTAGTGTAAGTTGACATGTCCTTACAAAGTTTCTTATAGTCAGTTAAATGTCTGATGAAGGAGCAGTATCAACAGATATTAAGCAGAGAGTCCACTAATACTCAAATGGACCATCACAATAGAGTGTTACCGTAGATTATAATATAGAAAAGGAACAATAATCCCACAATAAACTTAAACCCGCAACCTGCAGCTGCCTGTTTATTAGCTCCATAAATTGGATGGCTTCAGCCCAAAGATGCTTAAAAGACATTGTTTGAAGTGCTTTGAAATGTGCATTTTTTATTTTATGTTGATGTAATCTAAACTGAACCAGGAAGGCATCGAGTAGCCATAGGGTGTGTCTCAATCAGCACCCTTGTTCAATAGTCAGTTCACTGATCAGGGAGTCAGCCATTTTAAGTGCTGTCTCATTTGCAGAATTCTTCCAGTGCACTGAAATGTTCTCACGGAAATCAGGGTGCATCGATACGCATTATGCGCCCCATTAACGGAAGTTTGGAAGAGCAAAATATGAATTGTGTGGCCCAAATCATTCAATTTAATTAAAAAAAAGTATAAAAAATTACATTAATGAATATAGCTAAATACTGTATATTAGGAACAATAATTGTTCAATGGTTGAAATAATGCTGGTAAATGAAACAATCTAATTATTTATCTGTAATGCACTTTTAAAAACGTAGTAACATTATTATATGAAAACGATTGGTTCTGCTGTTGTTTAGAAATTCCAGTTTTGATGTTGTACAATGAGGACGTCCTCGTGTCACACTCAGTGTGTCCCAATGTGTAGTGAACCAAGCTCATCACTGCCCTTACAGTGCCTGAATTTGTGCACACGACCTACTGATGAAGGACCTCGGGAGCTTGGGTGATGACTGAGATAAATCCATCGAGTAGCTACTCCCATTAACAAATAACAAACAAACAACATATAGTATTTCATTTTTATTAAAGCTTTGCCATTGAGAGTAGTTGAGCTCAAAAACATAAAATGAAAAGCAATGAGAATGGAATTGGAAGTGTCTTGAAGGGGGTAGGACATGGCAGATATTAGAGAGCATTTGATTGGTATGAGGTGATGTCAAACAAAAGTTGATCCATAGGTGTAAGTGACAAACTGCAAGATTTGGATGTTTTTATCCTCTAAATGCAAGTTGGATCACTGTTTTGGAAGACACTAGCTTAAATATATTCTTAAAACTAACATACTGATACATCTAAAAACGTTATTGTTATTTCACAGGTACTTTATGTGGACATAGCTAGGCATGGGACGATAATCGTTTTCAAAGTATACCGTGGTTTGGAAAATTCAAGGTTTTAAAGATGCCAAAACATTTGGTAATACTATTCCTAAAGTATGTGTACAATTTTTTTTTCATTTAGGTTTTTTTTTGTTGTTTTTTTTTTAAGTTTTTTTAGGACAACAGAATCTCTAGCAGAAAAAATATCCAAAAATGCTGTTTAAATGGTAAAGAAATCTGTGTTTGTGAAACACATGAAGACAGCAAAAGTCAATCATTTATTTGAATTATTTAGCCTGATATGTTTACTGTTCCAAAATATTTCAAATGTTTCCCAAAATAAAATATATTGTGTTCAAAGGGGAAAAAGTTTTTTTTACATATTGTACATAATAACAAATTGTAAAGCAGTAATCACAATACTGGGTTCCCGAGAAACTGTGATATTTTTATTCAAGGTTATCGTACCATCAAAATCTTATACTGGCCTATGCCTAGACATGGCAACATTTTGAAAGTGTGTTTTTTGAAGCAACTTAGATAAAATTGTAAACTGTAGTGAGACTTTGGTCACTCTAATGTTAGTGTGGGGAAAAATAACAGATGCCCAACATTCAAGATCCCAGGAAGTTGCTCTGGTTATCACAATTATCAGATTGTTACCACAATCACTGCAGTTTTAGAAGTGATCTTAACCATTGTAAAACAGTAATTTAGAGTACTCACTTCCGTGTCCTCTGTACCATCTATTTTCTCATGGAAGCTGCCCAATTAAAGTCAATAAATGTTAACTATGTTATAACAGATTTTTAAACTAAAAAAATAATCGTACTATTCAGTTTTTTAAAAAAATGCTGAGCATTTAGTATTAAATTACTACTGAAAAAGTCCAGGTAAATTAAATTAAAGCGTAATTTTTTTAATTAAATGAAAAAAAAAAAAAAAAAAAAAAATTATATATATATATATATATATATATATATATATATATATATATATATATATATATATATATATATATATATGTAATGGAATCCCTAACTGATATAAATTTCTGTTTATTTTTAATCTAAAATGATCAGCGCTCAAATAAAAATGATATGCAAACATGTAAATTGGAAATAAAGCAGATTTTACATGTCTAACTCCTGGCAAACCAAATACCTTTTCAGTGATCTGTCAGAATCAGTCCTGACTCTCATACCCATTTCCTGAGTATCTAAATATAAACCACACTATATCCTCTATACTGTATGTCTTGCAAGATAATTTTTTTAACTACTTGTAATTAATTAATCCCTTATAATTTTGAAAGCTCTTCATCTCTGTTCCTGCATGTGGAGTCCTGCTGATTGCGAGCTACATGACTGCACTGCAAATGAGCATGAACCAAACAATTGTATACTTGCCACTTGTTGTTGACTGCATGCTGTGTATACGTATGCATGTGGGTCTGAATAAAGCATTAAGCATCTGTAGTCATGCAGGGTGCGCTCAGGGTGTGCTCAGGCTTTATGCTGGGGTTATAATCCACGCCTGTACTTAACCAGATTTTTCCACTCATCTGGTAAAGAATGTGAATTGTTGTGAGTGCAAAATGGCAAACAAAAATTACTTTTAAAGTATTTG